TGTGGAAACAGGAGTAAGGCAGGGCTGCATCCTCTCACCAACCATATTTCTGATAGTCATTGACTGGATCATGAAGGAAACAACAAAGGGCAGTAAGACCGGAATCCAGTGGATCTTCACCAAACAGCTTGAGGACCTGGATTTTGCAGATGACATTGACCTGCTCTCGCAAAAGCAACAAGATGCTCAAGAGAAACTATCACGATTAGCATCAGAAGCTCAAAAGACTGGCCTTAAAATAAACACTAAGAAGACAGAGGTGATGAGAATCAACAACAAACGAGAGACAGCAATCCAGTAAAATGAGGAGAACATCAAAGAAACTGACAGATTCACTTATCTTGGGAGTATCGTCAACAAGGACGGTGGCGCAGATGACGACGTCAAAAGCCGAATTAATAAGGCAAGGCATGCTTTCAATACACTCAGACAAATCTGGAATTCTGGAAATCTGGAATTCAAAAGCACTCTCCATCAACAGTAAAATCAGGATTTTAACACAAATGTTAAAGCAGTTCTTTTATATGGTTCTGGGACCTGGAAGGTAACTAAAACAATAAACAACAAACTACAGTCTTTCATCAATAAATGTCTCCGCCATATCCTTAACATCAGATGGCCTGATACCATATCAAACAACAGCCTATGGGAGAGAACCAACCAAAATCCCATTATATATTGACATAAAGAAGAGAAAATGGGGTTGGATAGGCCACATTTTATGCAAATCCTCAAAGAACATCACAAAACAGGTCTGGATTGGAATCCACAAAGAAAGAGGAGGGTTGGGAGACTCAGGCAAACCTGGAGAAGGTCCGTGTAAATGGAGGCAAAAGAGGCAGGTTTTACCTGGACCCAATTAAAAAGCATAGCCCAAAACAGAGTCCGATGGCGCGGTGTGGTTGCGGCCCTATTCTCCCCAAGGAGCGAACAGGAATAAGTCAAGTTATCTAAACTGCATGAGTCACAAGTGATGTATAGTTATCTCTTTTCGTCCGTCGTCGTACCTTGTGCGTCATCCATCGTCTGTCGTGCATTAACATTTCAATATTTTTAGCCTCTTATCTAAAATGGTTGAACCAATTACAACCTATTTTATAATATATAGCATCTATGGGCAAAGAGAAAAAAGGTATTCATTTCATAGTCTCTGCCTCTGTAAGGCACGTGGGTGAGGTCAAAACTTTCAAAATTAATGCAATTTTCAAAATCTTCTTTACTTTTGAACATCAAGCAAACTGCTGGCATGCTCAGAATAAACATAAGCTCTCTACTTGACTGCCCCAGGTTCGGATTTCTGATATTAGGGTGGAGCTCCATTGATCATATCGTGAAAAGGCAATTATTTCTCTGAAAATCTTTTTCTCTGTTATTAGCAGAATGCTAAGTGCATAATTATGATGAGCAAGGGTGCCTCTTCCAAAATTGAAAGTTCGTGGCTCCTCGGTTAGGGGATTCTTGTGTTAAGTGGGGTTCTGTGGATCATATAGTGAAAATGCATTAATTCTTCCTACTCTTGGTCATCTAGAGGGAAAACCAAGTACAGACTAGCTTAGATCTACTTCCAGAGGTTTTTGCAATGTAACAGACTAATATTTTGTTGATCCCCGATCGCCCTATTTCTCTTGTTTATGAGAAATAAACAAAATAAGTTTAGGGCCAAGTGGAGAAATATTTATATAATTTGTATTATATTTTGTGTATATGTAAAAAAAAAAATTAATATAACGTTAACGAGTGTAAAAATCAAAGAGTCAGCTTAAGCTCCTAATAACAGCCCCAATTTGTTGTCAATATCTGGCATGCCAACCTCTAGTCATGATCACTACCCTCCATCGATTTGGGAAGCTGTTCATTAAATTCCGAAAGTTATCCTTCAAGTTCACGGAGCTTGTTGGGTTGGCTTCCCTTCGTGAAATTTATTTATGGACCATGTCCAACAAATGCTATTTTGGATTAAGGTCAAGTTATTTTGCTGGCATATCCCTTATCGCAATTGTTTCCTCATCCAAATACTGACTGACCACTCTCGCACGGTGGACTCTGACATTTTTATCAATCTATTTTTATAAATTGTCAACGATGGCCCCAGCATAAGGCCTAACTTTAGGTGCAAGCATCTCATCCCTGTAGTGAATACCGATATGAGATCCATTCCTAAAGACATACAGGTCTACGGCGCTGTCCTAGCTGATGCCTGACCAAACCATAATTGACCCACTACCGAACCGGCCATGTTCAGAACGCAGCAGTCCTTGAATCGCTTTTTTACTACCTCCGTACAAACCTTCGACCGTAATTGAAATCCGGACAAATCTGGATTCATACCATTTCGTTGAAATAATGTAGGTCCCAGCTGACTTGGTCTTTTCTTGTGACCACTTTTAGGTTTCCATAAATCGCTGTTAATCTGTTCAAACAAATGTCTGAAAACAAAATGGGTGACAACCAGCTGTCACACCATCCTAAATTTGTGAACATGAATATCCAATGACCCTTGCGGCTTCCTCTTCTGCCAGAGATATCTTCCTTGAGGCATGATAACTTTTTAATTTGGCCAATGACTATTCAATACAACAAAAATAAGAGGAATCTGGATAATGCCAAACTTTCAAGAACCCAAACTGCCAGGAAATGAGCACAAATCAAGATTGTGGTTGGTGGACATATATGGAAACTAGTGTTGTCAACGAGTACCCGGTTAACCGGTTAATCGTCGGACAATGCGAGTATCGGTTAGTAGAACTGCCACTCGGTTACTCGGATATATTGAATTTTATAAGGTGAATCAGTAGGAATAATGTATTTTTGTCTATAATGTCCCCATTTTATTTACGTTATTTAACGTAAGTCTCGACCAAGCATTTAACAAATGCGATCAATTTGTTTTAATTAATATTTCACAGTTTATCTAATTGATGGCTTTGATAACCAAGGGGTATACAAGTTTTGATGGCTTGATTTAATTATAATTACATCAAATAAACCACATTTAATTATCATTACCTCACATAAACCGTAAACCTCTGCTAGTCCGCAGTACAAGATTAAAGAAATATTTTGAAAAGAATGGTTGAATTTAAATCTGTGAGGTGTGAATTATGTGAAATGGAATTAACATACACGGATGGGACAACTAATATTTAGGAACCACCTCAAACTGAAGTTTAACTGTGAATCCAGCGATATATAAAGCGCAAAACAGCCAACGATTACGGGGTGTTCGAGAACAAATTCATTTAGAAGATTTTGTGTGTTTGTAATTTTAAATAAAGTTCATATGCAGTCTATTTGTGTTTTGTGTATACCGATTTATAAATGATAAGATAAATATAAAAATGCTAAGGATATTACATACGATATATATTACAGCTGAGTAAATACCGCGAACATTTTTTTTTATGTTTAAAGAAAAAACATCCGAGTAACCGGTTACTCGATCGGAAAAGTAAGCAAGTAACCGGTTACTAAAAATCGTCCGATTTGACAACACTATTGGAAACCAAGTAATTGCAAGATAAAATACACCATAATATAGTTTCATTGAAAAAAAGAAATGAAAAAAGTCTTCATTTTTTGTGGAGTATAAAATGTATAGTTTCCTTTATCAGATTATATTCTTTATTATATACGTGTAATCATTAAATTGTCATTCTATGGAGTCTACAGGGTTGTATTGTACTCGAGTGGCCGTTAAGGTCCTTGAGCCTCTTGTTTTTGTTTTATGGGGTTTTTCAAAATTTAAAACCAGACTATATTAAAACAATTATGGAATTTTCGGTGGTGAATACGCTTTGATATTGACAAGAAAGCTTTCAAGATTTCGCATGAGTCAAAATTAGTATTTTTCTGGTCAATATAAAACAATATTTGCCATCTGAAAATTCCTAAATTGCATAATATTTATTATATAACTAACACCGTGAAAAGGGAGAATGGTGCAGACATTTTGCAAAACTATACACGATCATAAAAATGTGATATACTCATTTCAATTAATAAAAATCAACTTTACTGAGAGTTTTTTTTTATAAAAAGAAAGTACATAAATTCCCTAGACATTGCTGTTAAACATTATAATTACAAGCTCCACAGTGATGTGTGAAAAACACGCTTGCCTCATTGTTTGACAAAATTGACTGGTACATGTATGGGAGTTTGTTTTTTTTTTTTTTTTTTTCTTTTTAAGCCAAAGGCTCGTCAGATTTTATACACAATATACAGCATACAAAGTAAAACATGGGTTAATATACCGCATAGCGTTTTTTTTCGGGGTGCTAACTTTGGCTTATCTTAGCTGTTTTGAAGTAGCCTCTAAAATTTTAATCGCTAAATTTGATCCTTTGCGTATAAATACTGAATACAAGAACAATTAAACTAATCAGTCTGTTTTTAAACAATATATCTTTTATCTGGTATAATTGGTTTTTACTCAAATTCTTGCCTAAATCAGTAATCGAACGTACAAGCGAACTGAACTTTCTTCTAGAAGATAAAATTCCTCTCTTTTGCAACGTCAGCAAACTCTATGTCCTCCAAGAAAAGTTCGACCAAATTATTAACATACCTTTGAGCAAGCAAAACGTCAAATTTTACACCTGTAACGAAACTCTTTCTCGAAGATTCCAGCTGAGCATACTAATATTTTTGGAAGCAATATATACACTGTTCAAATCATATTGTCGTCGACGACATAATGTTTCGATATGTAGGAAATCCTTTAGCTCATCTGAAGGACAATAATATGAAGGAAAATAATAAAATCAAATATCGAGAATATTCCTTGCTAACAGATGGAGACATCTCTCATGAGATACAAGATTTAATTTGTGTGTGAGGGTGAGTGTGTGTTTTTTCTTGTTTTGTTTTTGTTTGTTTGTTGTTGTTAGTTTTTTTTTATGATCCTTTAATTCTTCTCGACTTAATGCAATCAAAATTAATCGACACTTCAGTTAAAAAAAAAACTGCAAAGAAAATCTGCACAAATTTTTATATATATTTTAACTAATTTGCACACCACCAAAGGCTGTCCATCTACCCGACACTTGTGACCTACTACCATGGGCATCCATGATACATACGACGTTTCCCTTCTGCAATTTCAGAACCAAAGTGCTGCCAGTCGTTATCCACTTATCCCCACCACCTTTGTTATATGAAGCCTGTCTCCCTTTAATCCTCCCATCTACGAATAATCCTGGATGTGCATATTTTTTGGGAGCACTGAGACTGTACCAAGTGAATAAATAGACACCATTTCTAGGCACAATAAATTTTCCCGTGGCCGGATTGTAGCCACTTCCCACATTGGTCAGAACCTGGTCATATTTCCATATTGACCCTCCATTAAAGGTTCTATCAGAACTAAGTTGAGCTTGGAAAGCTGTAAGAGTTTTTGGCTCTACAAAATTAGACGTGATTAACTTGTCATCTGAACAAAATTTTTCAAGAAATTTTTCTTCGTATATCACACATAAATCTGCAAAGTAATAGATTTATTAACTTACGGGTCATAGAAGAGAACCTTCCAACCTGTTCATCAAGAGAATCAACTTTATTCTTCAAGTAGTGTAAATGTGTTTCAATACAGCTTTCATACTCGCCGAGATATTTTCGACAGTTGTTGTGACAACGAGACAATACTACAGCCGCAAACAGAATGCTTGACGTGAATGCTACTCGATACATCTTCTTTTGTTTTTTTTCTATCAAATGAATTAATCATCTACGAAGACGAAACATGAAAAATGAAGATAAACAAATATCGTATGAAAAGGAATTCATAATTAAAGAAAACAACATATTTTACGGTAAAAAAAAAAAAAAAAACAAGCTTCCTTCTCTAAGAACAACCTTGGAGCTGCTGGAGGACACTTGTGGTGGGTAATGGTTCAAATGTCAAGTTTATGCTCATCTACATGATATACCACATTAAATGTAAGATGTAGTTTTGGCAAAAACGGAAAATCCGAATGATTTGCTTACATTTTTGGAAACTTATATTACTTGGACACAATTTCATAATATAGAATCTATGCTAATGTAATTATTCGCTAGACCAAACATGCATATGGCGTTTATCTGTCGAAAAAAAATCACATACCGACTAATAGACTTGGCATTACATCTGAAGGTTAAAAAATCATTTAGTCCATCTTACATGTTTATTTGAAACTCCAAAACACTTGTCTTAAGTTTAATGGTTTCAAAAAAAATATAAAGAGTTTGATTAAAAACAAAAAAAACCCAGTTATATCTGAATTTCGTGTCGGCAGTGAATTAACTATTATTGTATTTACCATATTACTATCACGCAAATTTATCATTATATATATATATATATATATATATATATATATATATATATATATATATATATATATATATATATATGACAACTTGTAAATTTTGTATTTACTGCCACCCGTTAAATTCAAAATTTGCAACGTGAAGAAACTTCCTTCTTAGCGAAACTACGGTAAAGCCTTTATAAAATAAGCAATGAAGGGAAAAATATATACATGAATGTCAATAGCTATTGAGTTACAGTACAGTTCAGTCTGTAGTGAAATATTTTGTATAAAAATCTGTAGTAAGTCTGTAGTATAAAATTTTTCGAGATCAATGACAAAAGCCATTTATCAATGGTCCAAAAGGAATATATTTGACAATATTTTTCTTTTCCCAACTTTTACAAATCACATCATTGATTACGGTGCGTAAAAATCAAAAATACATGAGGTGCAGTGTAAGCCAATGAGACAAATACCGGTAGTCTTTTTCAAGAAGTTTAATTACAGAAAGTGATAGGTCGTACAGATGATCGTATAGTGGCTCTCTCGAAGAGCGCCGTTGATCGTATTTTATAATGTACAATACATAATACTCATTACATATGAAATAGACAAATCAGATTCAAGTAAACAAGTTATTCAATAAATTTGTACAAAATCCTGGAGTTTTATAAAATAAATTGTAATTGAAACATAAACTTTAATAAGCTTCAGTCCAACGTCCTAGTATTGCGCAAAAGTTAACATGATAATTTTCAGCAATGTTCCGATATTGCTCCTGTATCGTCGTCCCAAGATAGATAAACATCCTGGTAGCTTACATTGTCCTTAATCCGATTACCAGGTTTGTTTATTCTTACGGAAAAGTCTTACACTTTCATATCCCGATTGGATTATAGGTCTATGCATTCTATCTTAAGTACATTGTAAATAGTTTAATATGTTTATTTTCTTATTAAAATAATTGTCTCAAACCCTATAGGTTTACAGCAGTCTCATTCAAAGGTCTTCTTTTTTTTTTTAATTTTGTAATAATTATCGGAAACCGTAAATTATACTTATTTTATCCAAGGTAAGAATCTAGCAGAATATTTTCTTAAATATGGCAATAAAAAGGGGAGGTCATGGATCGATGGTGTTTTTGTTGTTAGTTTGTTTTCGGGGTTTTTTTTTTATTTATTTATTTATTTTTTTTTTTTTTTTTTTTTTTTTTTTTTTTTTTTTTTTTTTTTGGTCAAGGATGTCTAGTTATAATTAGAATGCATTTAAATCCTGTCTATGCGCAATCCTGCTAAACGATACCTTCACAATTTAAGCATTTTTGTTTCAATATTTTTTACCAACTTAAATTTTAAAGACAACTCTTAAAATCATCAGATTACAGCATAATAATAGGCTAAACTGAATGAATTTTAAAGATTTAAGGTTTGTAATGTCTGCAACTGTGACAAATACTGCTAAATAACAATTTGAGTTGAACTATACCAGACTGGTTGGCCGTCAAATCTCTGACAGCACGGAAACTTCTGGCATATATTTATTTTTCTGAGTATCAGCGTATAGGTAGAGACCTTTAAATAATTTTTGGAAGTTTTCTCCTATACTTATTACCCCTCTCAGTACTTAAGTTAATTAACTTTCACTATGCAAAATTAGGAAATAATGTCAATTTTGCTAACGCGGATTTTTGCTTCAGATATGTGCCTTATTCCCTTCAGTTACCGTCACAGTAGCTCAGTCGGAAGAGTGCTCGCTCCGTGATCGGAGGTCGTGTGTTCAAATCACGGCCGCGACTGACCTAAGTCGCTAAAAATAGGTAGCAATTGTTCCTTCGCCAAATGTGAGGCACTTTAGAGTGAAAGTTAAAGTGACACCGTGACGGAAAAAACGCGAAAAGCGACAAAAGTAGAATTTATGCATGACACATGCAAAGAACTGCGAACGATAGCATTGTTCTCCCGCCTACCTCCAAGTCAATTTTCAAAAGTTTACATATTTGAATGATTTTTCATATTTATATAGATATTTATATGAATTTTCATAAAACATTACTTCTTTGGGAAAATAAAGAGAGGTAACTCTATAATTCGGGTAAAACTTGTGTTTTTCACTATAGAAATCAACGAAAACGGAAATATTTTTAAAATCCCCCTGTGAAACAAAAATTCCTTTTTACAGGTAATATAGACTGTCATTTCACAAATTCATACCAAAGCTTTTTGTGTTTTACGGGGAAGGGGGGGGGGACATATATTTACAGACAAAAAACTACAAAAATGCTTATTTTTTCACCAATTTCAAAGGGTTTTACGACTAAAACATTGTATTTTATTAATAATATATGTTTAATTTTATATGCGTAAAACATAAGAAAAGATTAAAGGAACATTTATTCATATCCAAGAATATTTTAAAATGTGTTGATGCTTGAAAGCCTGATTTCAATGGAAAATATCGTCTACCCCCCTTATTTAAAGAGCTGCAATTAGGGGTAATGAACTATTTAATACTGGCATTAAAATTATCAGCCAATTACCATTGAACTGTCCTTTGCATTCAACAAAGAATTTGCGGCCAAATTGCCATTGGTATTGAATTAAATCGGTGTAAAATGTAGGCGGGAATCGAGAGTTAGCTTGCGTAGTTCTTTTGTTCACTTCTTGAAAGTATTAGGTTTCAGAAAATAAATTACATGTTTCAGAACCTAAAAAATCTACTTTAATGGAGAAAAATAAAAGTAAAAAAATCTTTGTATAACCTAACATAAAAATATTGCACTTCCTCTGTATTGTACGCATGCGCTGAAAAGTTGAAGAATTTACCATGGTTTCAAATCCATAGATATAAATGTCGGATGACCGAGAATTTTTATACGATGAACAGAACTTATTTCTCAGTTCTGCTTGCTCCAATTTAATGTTGTTTACAAGTCTCACGCTAAAAATAAAGGACGCGTGACCTTGACATTGTGGACATTGACGATAAAAACAAAGCGATAGATACAACATTTGTTTTTCCGGCACTTACATTTTGCAGCTTTTTTCTTGCTTTACAGTGCAGTTGAATTGCCAAAACTTCGCTATATTCATATTTCACATAAATCTTTTGTTTTGTGATACAACTTTCTTAAAAGAAACACATGATTTTGACTCATTATGTAACTTTAAAAACCGAGGCCCAATAGGCTGCTGAGTGAATGGGCACGATAGGCGTTGGCACGATGAAGAACCCTCACTGCTCAATGGCCCTGAGTGCCGAGTAAGGTCTAAATTTGAAGCCCTTCATCGGTATATGGTGACGTCTCTATATTCAGTGAAAAATTCTCGAACGGGACGTCAAGCAACACGCAATCAATCAATCAATATTCTCTTTAGTTAAGATGTTCTGAGAACATCTTATACTTTCCATGTAATGCTTACATATAAATATGACTAACCATGGATGTGCTGTTCTTGAGAAGAAGAATTTTAAAGATTTTTCCTATGTATTTTTATGTAAAACTTCGATCGTCATAGTGGTCCCGCGCTATCCCCAGGGGTCATGATTGATCTTGAATCTACACTACCTTAGAGAGCTTTGAATTCATTTATGATTCATCTTTTCTAGCCTAGTGGTTCTTGAGAAGAAGATGGCCCCACCAAATTTTCACTATTTCTTAATTACCTCCCCTTGGAAAGAGGGTTTGACCCTTTATTTGAACAAACTAGATACCCCCTTTTTGGTACACATTAAAGGCTTAGAAAATTGATAAAAAGGTTTATTTCAGAAGTGTGCCGTTATATTATAGTTTATTGTAAACCGTGACCGAGATTCCGAGGTACACATCAGTATACTTATTTAAAAACTAGTCAATGAAACACCTCCTTCTCTGAAAAGTCTGATGAAATCTTAGCAATACAAAAAGAAGCAAGAAAATATTTTGTCGGATCTTATGAGTGGACAGACAAATGAGAAAGCTAAATCTTAGCTGTATGATTCATCCACTGGAATAAAAAAAAGTTTATTCAGGAAAACGGAAGCGTTTATAGTTTCCGCTAGGTATTCGTGCTTCCACGAATTTCCGCAAAGAGGTGACTTAGATTTTCCACGTATCGATATGGTTAGCGCAACGGAAAATTGATGCAATGACTCAGTATTTATAAAAGGTTGATATACATGTAGTTTACCTAATATTTACTAAGCTACGTTAAGGAATGCTTGAGTTCACATTTGTGAGGCACAATGTAGCAGTATCATTGAAAATTAAAAAGTAACGAAAATAAGTTATATCGCATAATGATGCGTAAATAAAAGGTTTTGTGCCTCCATTGTGTACTTTTTCCTACAGGTAAAACTTAGGAAATATCTGTACATTATGTAACAGAGAGTGAATATTGAATTTCTTTTTTTTTAATGAATACTGACTCTGTTCTCTGTTTAGATTTGAAAGAATGCATTTCATGTCAATTGGTATTTTGTTTGCTTATTCTGTGGTTGTTTGCAGCAGAAAAAAGTCGTGCTTAAAAGACGTTAAACAATTTAATTCCTCACCGTCCTAAGGACTGAATCAATCATCCGGAAAGCATCAAATTAACAAACAGTAAGGAGTCCGGTTCGTATATCTGCTTGATTTTTTTAAATAGAAATTTATGAGTTATCAATAATATCTTTTCTTCATACAATGAACATTGCTCTACTTAGAATTTGAAAATTGATGAAAAGGCCTGTTAAATAAAGGAATATCCAGTTGATTGATATTCACTAAAAGCCCAGGAAACAACATATAGTTTAAATAATATAAATAATTAATATGGTCAACATGACATCTCCTTACCGATACAGACCTTAATGAAGTTTCAACATTACATTTCCTACTATGAGTAGTTCAGACAATGTGAAGGTTAACACGCACCTATATATGCAGTTGCATTTATTTTGCTATCCGCTTCGTTTAAACGCTTCTCAGATGTGCATGCGACATTACAATTGTTCAACCTCGTTTAAATCCGCTTCTCAAATGTGCATGCGACATTACAATTGCTCAACCAAGTTTATTCTGTTTAGCTTTGATAATTGTGTGCTGAAAATCAAATAAAGGTAAGTACAAAACCATTTTTATTTACTTATTACAACGCTAGATTTTGTCACAATTGACAATACTTATTTTATTGTTCAGTACTTAACTTTAAATACTTTAGAATGTTTTGTGTGCTAATTGCTTACTACTCTTAATGTTGGTAGAAAACTTAAGATACATCAGCTCATTGTATGAAAGAAAGACTGGATATCAAATTTCATAATACAAAAATACGGATTTAATTGAAAAAAAAAATACCATGCGGTTTTCAGTCTTGAAAGAAGAATTTTAGGTCAAACATATTTTGTTTGATATCTTGATTGAATGTCTTGCAGGAGAAAAACTATCTCACTAAAACTTTACCCGATTTCTAGCAAATTGGAACATATTACGAAGAGGCGAATCTAGGATTTGAAGTTAGGGGTACGAATTAAATAGGCAGGGATCTGTGAGATTCCTGGATTAGTAACTCAAAAATTATGTCTTCTAAGTAGACAATTTACTATTTCTTTTAATAATGATTAATGAATATAATTATTAAAACTATCAATATTTTAAGTCTATGGAAATATAACGTAGGAATCAGGCCCTAGAAGCTCTATTACTTGCCTTGCAAGAATATAGAAATATAGCTTTTAATTTATTCCCCTTTATCCGATAACTCTTAATAATTCATTAATAATTAATTTATTAATTAGCCAATTGGGAAGTAATATTGAATGTAGAGACTATTGAGGAGAAGAAAAGGAAAATTTCTGTCGCATAGCACATTTTACATTAAAACATTTCTTTATTGTCAAGTAAAATGCCCAAACTAGAATTCTCTGTTCGCTGTTAGGTATGTTAATTACATCAACACCTCAGGACTAGACAGGAAGAAAGTCCAACCTGTTTGCACCATATGTACAAACAAGCTCAAATTATCTTCTTAAGATATATGTATATATGATAAATCTTGAGGCTCAGAGCATGTTGTAGACAAGCTACAAAAAAAACCTTTAATCATGCATGTGCAGTCACTAAATATCAAACTAAGATTAAATATTGACGATATTTTCTTGCAAATACTGATCCATATGCATCATACAGCATTGATAATTCAGAGCATTTTGTTCATTTTCTTACACTGAAACTTTTTATTTTTATCATTATTATTATTTTACACTAGACTGTATTTCATTTAACAAAAACGCATATATTCTACTGAGCTCATCTATTTACTAATGTGTTCATGAAGGTATAACAATTTAAGTAAAATTGTCAAAGTGTTTGGTTAGAAAACCAGAACATGGGTTTATATTGATGCATAAAAGCAGTGTTGAACTTTTCTTTTTCAAAGAATAAAGCTCAAATGTATAATGTACAAAGGAATAACTAGGACAGATTTTTAAAAATCTTTTATAAGATACCGGGATTGAATGGTGTTAATGTAACGGTGTAGTGTTCTCTTCTATTGTCGATTCATATTATGTTGAAATAGTTGGCCCCTTGGATATGATGGGGGTACAACAAGGTGTCAAATTTCTACATGGAATGTTGAAAAAGAAGAGGAAACTTTCCGACAAATTTATCATCATAGGCATGAGCGAAAATAAATCTTTAGATATTGTGCAAGCTGTAAAGGACTCGTTAATTCAGTCTTGTTAAATATAGTTTTTGCCTGTAAAATGAAATTAGATTACAATGCAGATTTTTTTATTGTAATTTGATATTTTAATTGACTCTGCTGTCACTAGACGATAAAGACATGTAAACCTAAACTGACTTGTTGACATGCACTGTCTCAATTCAATTTGAATTTTAAAAAAAAAATAGAAAAATTCAACTTTTTTCTTATAGTCATTGAGCAAGATTTGGTTATTATATTATATACACGTAACGGTTTACAAGAATGAGAATCTTCTATTCAAGTAAATGTCTACAATTAATTAAATTATGAATAGTAATTACTGTTTCATGTGCCTAGTTTGAGAAAGCATCTCTTCTATACATGAAGATACTCCACCCTCACCAATGACTTCAACTAATTTGGTAGACTCTTCAATTTATTCAGTGCAAAATGATTTATTGGCACTTTAATTTAAAGTGGTTATTGCACTTAATGGTTTTCAATGTTTACGTTAAATTATTTTTTAACGATAAATGATAGAGTCATGGAACCGACTGCATTCAATTCTTTAACCTTTGGCATTGAAATTTAGTTCAAGGTCAAAGTTCAGGGTCAAATATGAAAAAAATAAGCTCTTTATGTAATACATAAAGACATAGATACTATCTTTTTTTTTCAACATGCATATTATATATCACTGCATCTTTAATGTCTTTTAAAACTATTTTAAAATTCCATTTCTTGACCTCTAGCCTGACTCTTTTTAAATTCACTGAGCCTTGCACAATAAACCTTATTATTGCTACCCAAGAAACCGTATATCGTAGCTAGAGACACTAAATCTTTACCAATTGCTTTGTTTGCTAAAGTGACAGTCTATTTTGTGCGAAAGGATCTGAGACCTCGTAGGTGAGGTATCGCCCCTTTTGCGCTTATCGTTAAAGCGTAAAACTTAAAAACAGTTAGTCCAAGATACATGGGACCAAATGCAATGGGATCCCTGACTTATCAATTTATACCAGAAAAAGACCTTGGAGGAAAATAATCCGAAAAAAGGGAAAGGCTTTTTCAGATGCACATATTGATTCATGCGTCCTTGAGTTTCTTTTGAAGCTTGGGGAACTTATTCATTTTACGCTCTGGAACGGTTAATTCAAATTATGAACATAGATTGAACTCTAATGGTTTGCGTTACATTTTTGACAGTACAAGCTCTCATAAATATTTTTCTCCTTTAGAACGTAGGGCATAGGAGAGGCTTCACAATAATTTTGGACAGTTTCCTCTAGATTTATTTACTTAGTAGTAAAAAGGAAGTCATGTCAATTGAGGAATTTTGTTACAGGCTCATGTCTTATTCCCTTCAACAAAGATGTTTGGAAAAAACATTTTTTGCTTATTTTTGTGTAGTTTCCTTTCTTCATTCACATCAACCAAGCAGTGGCTTTTCAAAACTTTAGCTTAGAGTGAATACCAAACCTCCGATGTCACATACACTGTATCATACGTTATAAAGCTTAAGTATCAAATATGAAAAGGAAAAAGGTAATAGTAGGATATATAGTCTTGCGCGCAAAATACATTCCTTTGCACAACTTCTTCAATTTACCCCTGGTGAGATCAATACCATTCACAGAATTCACAGCCCCCCCCCCGGGGGGGCATACAAGCAGAGCTGCAATATATACGGTTCTAATGCTTTAACATCAACATGGCCAGCTCATTTCATGTGCCAGGTAAACATTTTAACCCCTGGACTGAGATGATGCACCAAAAGAGTGAAGTAACTTGCTTAAGGTTGAAATGATAATGCATAGTTATTTAGCGATCTACCAAAGGCATACCTGGGTCCATCAGGTCCGAAGGCGTCCAGGCTAACTAATTCACCATCACATTCACTCCATCAAATAAAAATTGCAAGGGATCCCCCCTCCCAGGGGGAGGGATACGTACAGCTCGAATAAAATCCGTCTCAGAGTTTTTTGACAAAAAAAAACAATAAACATCAATCGTGAAAGGTCTATTTCGATGGGGGCCACTTCTCAAATTTTCCTTCGTTTAAATGTTACCAAATTTACAAGGGATCCTTTTAACCGGGGGAGGGGGAGAGGCAATGCAGTTTTTGGTTTCTCAGAATCACCCAGAATCTCAGATTCCTGGTTGAGATTTTTTTTCGCTAGCAGAAAAGCAGTAAAATGAATGTCACACAAATTATCTTGGAATATTCTATCAACGTCAAACACTCTCTATGATTAAAAAAAGTTTTATGGAAAGAAACTTTTCATATTTTAAAATCTTTTATGGTCAATGATTGTATTGTATAATCCATTTCTTTATGCTAACCTTTCATTGTATATAAAACAAAAGGGAAACATTCCCCAGAACCTCAAGCTTGCTAATTCGAGTTTAAAGGACAGTTGTACCAAAAAAAAAAAAAACGGAACATTAGTTTCCCTATAGTATATTTGTTAAAAATGATGACATACATGCACCTTTGCGGACGAAGTCATCAAGGGAAATAAAATCACTTATTTTTGATCATCTGATTCGATTAAATTCCCAATTAGTCAAGATTTTTTGGGTGAGTGGAATACTATTAATTTTTTTCTTCAATTATTTTTCAGATTAGATATTATATGTATTTTAATATTTAAAGGCATTGCTACAAAAGAATGGAAAAAATGAAGTACCCATTGGTATGAAACGATGTAAGAAAACATATGAAATGTAATGGTGCACACCTTATTTTTAGCTCTACTGGTCAGAGACCAGAAGAGCTTATGCAATAGTAAGGTGTCCGTCGTCCGTCCGTCCGTCCGTCCGTCCGTCTGTCTGTCTGTCTGTCTGTCTGTCTGTAAACAATTTTTCAAAACACTACTCCTCCTACAGTTTTGGTCTGATTTCAATATAAGTTGGCACACAAGTAGACTACACTAAGATACATAATTTAGAGCATCGATTTTTGATTTCGATGAGTGGTGTTGCAATGATTACTAAAAAAAGAAATTTCTGTGTAATTATTTTAAAATGCTACTCCTCCTGCAGTTTTGGTCTGATTTCAATATAACTTGGCACACAAGTAGACTACACAAAGATACATAATTTAGTGCATCAGTTTTTGATTTCGATGATTTGTGTTGCCATGGTTTCTAAAAATAGAAATTTCTGTGAAATTCCTTTAAAACGCTACTCCTCCTACAGTTTTGCTCTGATTTCAATATAAGTTGGCACACAAGTAGACTACACTAAGATACATGATTTTATGCATCGGTTTTTGATTTCGATGAACAGTTTTGCCATGGTTACTAAAAATAGAAATTTCTGTCAAATTCCTTTAAAATGCTACTTCTCCTACAGTTTTGGTCTGATTTCAATATAAGTTGGCACACAAGTAGACTACACTAAGATACA